AACCCCCGTACTGCCAAAAAAAAAGTGCAAACAGAGCAGGGGGGCTGGGGGAACAGCTCCAGTGATAGAACACCCAGCTCTGTACATAAAAACAAAACAGGACAGAGAAGGAGAGTAGCCCAGGGCAGGAGGTGGGAAGTGGCTGCTTCTTATGGTGGGGCAGGGACAAGGGAACCTCTGGGTGGATAAGACAACTGTCTTGCCAAGATCAGGGCAGCCTCTCTAGACATAAGGCGTTGCCAGGAACCAAAAGATGTAAGAGAACCCGGGCTCCCTCAAGGGGACATTGAGGCAGGGTGAGGATGGCAGGAGCCCAGCCACACCTGTACAGCTGTCAGAGGAGGACTGATGAAAGGGACCTGGGCACTCAGGAGCAGGATCCAGCTGGAAAAACAAGCAGGAACGTGGGGACGCCATCGCCTATCACCCTGCCCCTGGGTTGGGCCCCTGGAGGTAGAACCCTGGATCTAGGAGGTTCATTGCATCAGCCAAGGGCTGGGAAGGGAATGAGTGTGGGGTAAAGTGGCTCCAGTTAGTGTGATTCTTAAGGCTTTCCCTGGTCTCCTTCCTGGTTACACCCCACCCCCATTGCATTGTCCCTGGGAGTGGCTAATTCCCTATAGGAATGCCAGGGCTGACTCAGGAGCTGTCCCAGTAAAGATTGTGGGAGTCTGAGTGGGACATGGCTCTGCAGCCAGAGAGACCCCAGGTTCAAATTCCGCCCCTGTCACTTATCAGCTAGTGACTTACTTATTCCTTATTTCAGTTTCTGTTGCTGTGAAATGCAGGTAACACTACCAGAGTCTCCAGGTAGTGGAGAGGACAGGGAGAGTGGACACTGAGGGTGTTGATGTCAGGTGTTCGATGTCTGCCTGCCCTTTCCCTGGGGTGTCCGTAGGCAGAGCCCAACCTAAAGGGAACAGAAGCATAGTGACTGTGGCCTCCTGTCTGCCTGGTTGACTCAGGTGTCTGTGAGAGATGTGGGTGAACAGATATTTCCTGGAAGTCTTTTCTTCCTTTCTGCCTGTTCTCCAGTTTTAATAATCAGAGACTGGTCCAGAACAAGAACTCAAGGGTGAGATGGTTGTAGGGTCTCCTCTTACCCTGGAACCCACTGTCCTGCCTGCCTGAGACCCCACCTGCCCATTCTGCCTCCTGGTTCTAAGTCCCTTGTCTTGATCTGCCTGAGATCATTCATTCATGCAACAAATACCTCCTGACCACCCACAGGGTGCCAGGCCCATGCTAGGTTATAAGGTTGTCACACAGAGAAGTGCAACCCTGCCCCTAGCCCCATCCTACCTTACCCGAGAGCACCTCAGTCCTCAACCTGAGGCTCCATCAATAGTCCCAACATCCTGATTCTAGAAGCTACTATCTCTGTCTCCTCTCAGGGCTAAACAAATCCCAAGGAGTCTCAAACAACTGGGTTGCTCTCATTATGTTGGGCCACCCCTGATCTAAGGTGGCCAGTCCCGAGAGAAAGTCAGCAGGGCAGTGGTGGCCTAGATGCAGGAAGAGACAGCATCTTCTCCACTGGATGCTGCTTGGTTTGAGGTCTGGAATCACGGTTGCCATCTTGGAGTCATAAAGGGTCCACCATGGGCAAAGCCAGCCCAGTGAGTAGCTAGGGCTACTTCATGTGAGATCACAAATAGCCTCAGAACTGAAACCCAGAACTGAACCACACTTATTATAAATCTGGAAGCTTTTTATATTTGGGAGGAAATGCTGCTGGAGACAGAACCAAGGACCTCACACACGCTAGGTATGTGCTCTACCATTGAGCCCCGCCCTCCACTCTGAGCTGGAAGCTTCTTCATGGGTCCAAAGGAATGTGATACTGAGCCCATGTGAAGAGCCTGGGACAGGATCTTCATTGCTCTGCCTTTTGCTGGCTTTATTTGGGACCTTGAGAGGTTCTGGTCACCTCCTGAACTGCAGGCACCTCAACAATAAAGTGGGGGACAGTAATGGGTAATAATACCCATGCTGACCAGCACAGAGATTACGAGTCATTGCACAGAGCCAGAGGGAGCTCCAGTGGACAAATTGTAGTCAGAGCTCCTGACTACATTCTGACAAACAGACACTGGTGTGAGAATCTCACTGACAGGAGAACCAGGAGGGAAAAGCTCTTTTCTCCTGATTTCTCCTGGGAGACTCCTCATTGGATCACTGTGGAGCAATAAGAACCCACAGTTAGTCAGGCACTGGTGGCTCAAGCTTGTAATCCTAGCTACTTGGGAGGCTGAGATCAGGAGGATCACGATTCGAGGCCAGCCTGGGCAAATAGTTCATGAGACCCCCCCCCCATTTCCAAAATAAGCAAGCAAAATAGACTGGAGGTATGGCTCAAGAGGTAGAGTATCTGCTTTGCAAGCACAAAGCCCTGAGTTCAAGCCTCAGTCCCACCAAAAAAAGAAAAGAATCCTACACCTCCTGGTGCTTCTTCTGCACTATCTTGTTTTTTTATTTTTGTCTTTTTTCGGTACTGCAAAGTTGAGCGGTTTCCTGTCCCCTGGGCCTATCCACTCCCATTGTCCCCAACCAGTGTTGGGCCACAGAAGGGGAATTTGAACCCAAGGCCTATAGTTCTTCTTTTTTTCTTTTTTTGAGGTACTGGGGCTTGAACTCAAGGTCTACACCTTGAGTCACTCCACCACCCCTATTTTTGTGATGGGTTTTTTTGAGATAGGGTCTCAAGAACTATTTTCCTGGGCTGGCTTGGAACCTCGGTCCTCTTGATCTCTGCCCTGAGTAGCTAGGATTACAGGTGTGAGCCACTGGTGTCTGGCACCAAGACCCATAGTTCTTAATTCCTCTTATACTGCCTCACTGGAGTCCCTGGCCTCCTGAGAAAACTGACCCCTCGTTCACAGCACAGTTCAGGTCTGAGAGCCTGGAAGGCCCCACGTGCCTTAGTCAATGTCTGGAAACACAGCTAATCACATGTGAATGACAGATCCTTATATAAAAACGTTATTGTCGCCAGGCAAACATGGTCTCAAATTCTGAGAGACGGTCTCTTACTGACTAGTGTTTTGTTTCAGATAAGATTCCTGCCAGCCAGCCATGCAGACATCTGTTGAGAACCCGGCTGCAGGGCAGAAGAGGGTAAAACCGGTTTGAGCCATGAAGGATGCTCTCTCTAGACCTGCCATTCACCCCTTCCCTGAAGAAGTCATGAACAACCCTCCCATTCCTTACCTGCAATGCTCTCCTTTCTCCCCCTTTAAAAGGACGTTCATCCTTTATATGGATGGGAAGCTTATCTGTGAGTTCTTGCCCACTTCTCTTTCTCTGACTAAAGAAATGTCTTTTTCACTGCACAGTCAACTTTTGGTTGTTATTGGGCCCATGACTCTGAGAGGGAAAAGAACCAGTTTGAGTCAGAACTTGGAAACACTATCAGTCAGAAGTGTTTCCCTGGGAGCACAGCCTGAGACAAGGATTCTTGCACAAGTGGTTTATTGAGGGAGGCCATCTGGAGAAACCGGTGAGAGAACCAGGAAAACAGGCTGAGCCAGGGATAAGATGGAGCCCAGAGGTGGTTCCAGAGTGTCTGGGGCGTCCTACACTTGATCCCAGAAGGAACTGGGGATGCTGTACCGTCCTGACAATCCAGCATAGAGCAGAGGGGGACAGGCAGTTTATACCTGCCATGGTATTATACTCTTCTGCTCATGGGTCACAGGTGGCCTCCAGAGGGGTGGGAGTGGGGCAAGGCAGCTCCCAGTAGCCAGGGGAATCAGTAGGAGAAGAAGGCAGATTGGAATTTTCCCCGGGGGTGGGTCCCTGGGTCAAGAGAGGACCTGGATGGGCCATCAATCCCTAACTCTGTACCCTGGCTTCATCTGACAGCATTAATGGAGCACCTAGCATGTGGGAGGCAGAGGAAACAGGAGTTATATCTGGTCTCCATCCCAGCCCAGCTGGGGGAGATGAATGAGGTTCCATTTACTGCATGGGAAAGTGCTCTAAATGGAAGCCCCAGAAAGCCCTACATAACCTGCAGGAGTGTCAGCCAGGGGAGATGTCTCCTAGGAAGTAGCCATTCCTCGCTGAGGAGCTTGGGGAGGGTCTGACCAGGAGGAAACAGCCCAGGGCCATTTCTACAGGAGGCTCCCTGAACAAGCGCAGGGGACAGGAAAGAGCAGGCCAGGCCCTGGCACCTGCAGCAACAGGAGCCCGGTGTCCCCAGCCCTGTACTCAGAAGTGTTTATGGAGCCTCTGCTTAGCTCTGAGACTGTCCTGGACACCAGAGTGCAACTGAGTCCATGGGCTCTACCTGGGGGGACCGCAGAGCCTAGTCGGGAAGAGGGACACAGGTCTAGACAACTCTGCTCCAAACACCTGTGAGGCACTTTACCTTGGGACAGAAGATTTTGGGGATTCAAGAGAGAGACATGTGGACAGAAAGAACAAAAATGCTCGTGGTGGCAGCCACTCAGGCTGAGGCTGGAAAATGCACCGGAGGGGGTAAGGCAGGGCCAGGTGGCCAATAGGGTAGCAATGGCAGGGAGCCAGTCCCACACCAAGAACCTGCCATGTCTCCCCTGCCACACATGCCTCCTAGCTGCTTTGGCTTCCTGGACTTGGCCTTCACCAAGTACCTGATTCAACCTCAGAGGAGACAGCTGTGCCTCCACTGGGAGGATCCAGGAGGCCAGAGAGGCCAAGGCTGACCCTTTCCCCAGGAGGGTTTTAATTTTTATTTACATATATGTATATTCGTTTATTTATTCAGTTGTTTATATTTATTTGGCAGTACTGGGGTTTGAACTCAGGGCTTCATATTGCTAGGCAGGCGCTCTACCACCTGAGCCACTCGGCCAGCCTCTAGGAGGATTTGCTTTTAAAGCTAGTCTGGTCCAAGTGGCTAAGTTAGATACTGAGGAGTGGGAGGGGAAAGATGGCTACAATCCTGCTAGACTTGCAGAGCTCAAGATATTCTGGAGTAGGGCAGGGGTTCTGGGGACAGAGGGGGCACACCTATCCTAACACGCAGGTTTCTGACCCTGGCAGTTGGGCCACCAGTAGTAACGCAGGTGCTTGTTGTAGCTGTCCAGGTTGCGCTTCAAACACAAGGCCACCTCCTTGTCACAGGCACACAGCTGCTGCTCACACCAGCTCCCCTTGACAGCTGTGGGTAGAGGAGAGGGGAGCTGAGTGTTTGTTCCTTCCCAAGACAGAGCTGGTGGGTTTGGGGGCCTCCGAAGGTGGTCCAGTCCCTGCTCAGCTTTGCAATTTCCCTTCCAACCATTTTGATTCTAGCTGCCAGACAGTGGGTATGACCTCTGCCTCCCTGCGTTCCCTTGCTCCTTAGTCACACGTTCACTCACTGAACAATTCCTGAGCACCTACCTTGAGGCCGATCCTGGAGAGAGAGGGCTGAAGAAAAGGGATAGGTGGCAGAGGTGCGTGTTAGAGAGCCACAAAGTGGACGCAAGGAAGACACAGGGTTACAGCAGCTGTCTGAGCTGACAGCTGAAGGTCTGCTCCTTCCAGGGAAAGGTGGGGTCAGGAAGGAGTGTTCCAGGCAGGTGGAACAGAATGTGCAAGGCCTCCAGGCAGGAGGTGCCACCTGCCTCAGTTTCATTATCAGTAAGGTGGAGATTGTGACGGGAGCTGCTGGGTTGAGTGTCACCTGGTATGCGGAGACCTCAATTGACAGCATCTGCTGTGACCAGCCCTTTGGGTTCCCAGCCCCAGGACCTGCTTCCTTTCTCCATGCTGGGCACTGTGGACCCAGAGGCTGGGTGACTTGGATGCCAGCCCAGGCTCTGTCATTGGCAGCGGTATGACCTGGGAACACACTTCCCCACTCTAGTCTGGAAAGTGGGGAGGATCGGGATTTCTCTGCTTCCTTGCTGAGCTGTTGTGAGGATCAATAATGGTGAAAGGAAAAACGGCAATGCTACGGCAGCCTGTGAGATTCTCTGCTCCAACTCTCTGTGGCGGGCATTCTGCCAGGCTGTCTGTTGACCTCTGTTTAGTTCTTGTAGCAACTATGGGGTAGATTACAGATGAGGGTACTGACGTTCAGAGAGGTTAAGAACTGCACTCATGGCCACAGGGCTGGTCAGTGCAGGGCCTGGCTTCCGGATGCTGAAAGGGTGGAACCTCCTTTTGGACCTTTCCACACCCCTGCACCCCCTCTTGCACGGCCCCCGCAGCCCACGGCCCGCAGCCCACAGCTAACTGGGCATATGAGAACAGAGAGGTCAAGTAACTTATGCATTGCCTCTCAGTCTTTGAAGGCAACAAGAGCCAGAACTCTTCCTGAGCCTCCAGCTTCAACCCCGAGCCCCAATACTCACAGCACTGGATGTCCCCCTGGGAAAAGGTGTATTTGTAATTGTCAGTCGTGGGCCTGCACTGGTGAATCCTCAGGTGGGTGTAGCAGCAATCATGTTTCTGGCAGCACCTGGGGGGAGAGGACAGGAACTGGGGTAGGCAGGGCACTAGCCGTCTTCTGGCTCAGCTGCCCCACCTGTGTGCCCACTGGAAAGAGGCAAAGCCTGCAGGGCCCGGGTCTTCTTTGGGATAATGCTGACACTGGTGAGTCTTTCCATGTGCCATGCACCCGTGTCATCCACACATTCTCTCTTAATCCCCACTATCTCTCCATGAGGAGGTGCTGGTATTATCTCCATTTTACAGAAGAAGAAACTGAGGACCAGGATGTCAAGCCACTTGGCCAAGGTCACAGCCCTCCTCTGGCCAATTGCCAAGGTGGTTGTGAGGATCAAATAAGATATGGCAAAAAGAAGAGGGCTTTGAAAAGCCATGTGAATTGGGATTGGGGAGCAGACAGGGTACTATAGTTGGAATAAAAAGTGAGACAGTAAGAGGATCAGGCCTGCAGAGGCTCTGGGGGAGCTTCTAGGCCAACTCCAGTAGGGTTGGGATTGTACAGACATTCAGTAGAGTTCCTAGCATAGAGAAATGGATTCACTAAATGAATCATGGATGGAGAAAGAAGGAGAAAGTCCCAGGCTCCTGGGAAGGGGATTACCAGTCCGTGGCATCTTTGGGCTGGCCTCTGCCACCAAGTCTGCAGTGACAGGCATAGGGCCAGTAGTAGAGGATGGGCATCTTCCCCGTCACTTGTCGGACCATCTTGTTTAGGTTCAGGAGCCCGCCCTGGGCTGGAGTCACACCTGCCAAGCAAGCATTCCAGCAAGGAGGAAGGGGATGAGTGTCACAGAGCTGCCAGGCGCCCCAAGGTGGCACCTCTGCTGTGCTGGACCAAATAATGACAATCATCATACAGTGACAACTGCTCCTGCTTTCAAAAGTAAGGTGTTGACTGGGGGTGGGGCTCAGGGGTAGAATCCAGGGCTTAACATGTGCCAGGAACAAGATTCAATCCCCAGGACCAAAAACCAAAAGATAAAAATCTGTGTGTGATGGTCGTTGAGTGCTTACTACAGGTCTTTTGTGTGTTAATTTACCAACTCCATCTCATAAGATAAACACTATATTTTAGTTTGGGATAATTCTAGATGTACAGAAAAGTGGTAAAGATCATACTGATTGCTCCCAATTCCCCCCTTAGCCAATTTCTTCAAACGTTGTCACCTTATGTAATGATGGTGCATTTATTAAAGTCAACGTTGGTACAACAAAAACCTTTTTATTTTTTTCCCTGATAGTGCAGGGAATACCTTTTTTTTTGGCAGGGGGACTGGGGTTTGAACTCAGGTCTTCAAGCTTGCCAAAAAGGCGATCTACTTCTTAAGCCACACCTCCAGTCTGTTTTGCTCTGATTATTTTGGAAATAGGGTCTCTTGAGCTGCTTCCCCAAACTGACCTCAAACCTTTATCTGCCCAATCTCAGCCTCCCAAGTAGCTAGGAGTACAGGTGTGAGCCACCAGTGCCCAGCTGGGGATGCCATTTTTAATCTCTGTTTTACAACTTGCTCAAGGTCATAGCAGGTGGTAAATGGAGCCAGAACGGAAACGGATGCAGTCTGGTTTCATTCCCTGTGTCTGGGCATTGATTTCCCACTGGCAACAGGAGGAAGAATTTTGTCTCACTCTTCCCCCACCCCGCAGAGAAATCTGAGCATTAAAGAGCATTGTGGCTCTCCTGGGAGGTGGTGTGATTTAGAAATCAGTGAATTTCATTTCAGTCCTCATAGCTGCAGGCTGGAATCGATCATCAGGGGAACCTGTTTTATTGGGGGGGAGAAATGCATTATGTTGAGTTAGAAGAAATAAAAGCTATTAAGTCAATGAATTCAGGAAGAAGTAGGGAGAGACAGACAAGACGGGGACAGAAGTACACGTGTGTCACCCCAAGAGATGCTTCAAGAACACAGGGAGCACATGTCACATAGAGGCAAGAGTGTCAGTCTGAAGGGGCTGGGCCACCTTTGGTGGACCCTAGCTAATGTCACCAACTCTCCAGTAAGTGATGTCATAGTGAAACTTCTCAGGCACAAGAGATGAATAGTAAATGGGGTGAGCCCCACATTGGTGGAGATTGGGGTGAGGAGTGGGGTTGGGAGAGATTCGTGTGGGTGGCCCTGGGCTACAACTAGAAGTGATTGGCCTATTATGTTCCAGTGTGTCCCCTCAATGTGTGGAAGTCCATGTTGCCACTCCTGTTTGACACAGTGGCTCTGGCTGAATGGAATATTAAACAGAAGCCTTGTTAAACTTTTTATTTATTTATTTATTTATTTATTGGGTAGTTCCAGGGTTTGCACTTGCAAAGCTGGCACTCTACCACTTGAGTCACTCCTCTAGTCAATTTGGCTTTGGTTACTTTGGAGATGGCGTCTCATGAATTGTTTGCCTGGGCTGGCCTCCAACTTCGATCCTCCTGACCTTAGCCTTCCGAGTAGCTAGGATTACAGGCATGAGCTACTGACACCTGGCCTTTCTAAGCTTTAACTGTGCCTCTGGAGTCATCTGGGATTCCATGTTAAGGAACCCTGAGGCAATCAACTGTAAATAAAGTTAATGATCTACCTTGTGCACCAATCAAAGACTTGTATTCAGAACCTCATCTTTCTTGATACTCCTCTTCCCTCTGCTCTCCCCTCCAAATATATAGCTCTTTCAATTTCAGCTCAGAAAGATCCACTAAACCCCACCTGAACGGCCCAACTCTCCCTTGCCAGGCAAGCAAGGCATTAGCTTAGATTCTGCATGCTTTGGGGTGATCTCATTACTCATCATTTTGTAGTGAGAAGAACCCAGCCTGAGAAAGTGGGCTCATACAAGACGGTGGGTGAACTGGCCTTGCTTGTAGCAATTCCTACCGTGCTGCGCCCCAGCATATGTTAGTGTGTTGAGCTATCGTTTACTCCCTGCTGCTTACTGACTCAACACTTGTTCTCCATTTCTTATTAGAGTCCTAACAGTCCTATGGGGACAGGGGAGGGGGAGATGTTGTGCCATTTAACAGATGAAGATATGGAGAAGTTGGACGGCTTGGCCAAGGTCATGGTGGGGTCCACATTTGAAAGGCAGGCTCATCTATGGAATATATTGCCTCTGTATATTCAGAGATGGATTTCTGTGGTTTCATTGCACATTTCCTAATGGTTTTCACTGTGATTCTGGAGAAATGTCCCTCTCAAGAATTTGGGAGTCTCAAGACAACATAAAATCACTTTTAAAAAATGCAACGACAAGCTTGGTGTGGTGGGCACACCTATAATCTCAGAACTCAGGAGGCTAAGGTAGAAGAATCATGAGTCTAAAGCCAGCCTGGGCTACAGAGTGAGTTCAAGACAGCAAGGGCTGTATAAAGAGACCCTGCATCAAAAATACAAAAGAAGCTGGTGGAGTGGTTTAAGTGGTAGGGCACCTGCCTAGCAAACCTGAGGCCCTAATTTCAAACACCAGCACCACCAAAAAAAAAAAAAAACAGGACCATTTTCCTTTCCTCAGCTGCTGCCAAAGTGCTTGGTCAGGCCCTCACTTCATCAGGTGACTAGCACCATGCCCAGAAGCCCACACCATGGCCTCCATCTCTGAGTTCACCTGCACAACGATGAGGTCACTGTCACAGAGGATAAGATCGATGCTGTCATTAAGGCCTCAGTGTGAATATTGAACTGTTTTGGCCTGGCCTGTTTGCAAAGGCCCTGGCCAATGTTAACATCGAGAGCTTCATCTGTAATGTAGGGGCTTGGGGTCCTGTTCCCACAGCAGGTGCTGTTCCAGCATGAGGTCTGCCCCCCCTCCACTGCTGCTGCCCCAGCTGAGGAAAAAGTACAAGCCAAGAAGGGAGAATCAGAGGAGTCTGACCATGACATGGGCTTTGGTCTTTTTAACTCAACCTCTTTGCAGCTTGTTCAATAAAAAGTTAGACTCTGCTTCAAAAAAAAAATACAAAGCAGGCCAGGTGTGGGTGACTCACACCTGTAATCCTAGCTACTCAGGAGGCTGAGATCAGGAGGATCGTTGTTCAAAGTCAGCCTGGGCAAATAGTTCCCAAGATCCTATGTGGAAAAAACCCATCACACACACCAAAAGGATTGGCACAGTGGCTCAAGTGGTAGAGGTAGAGAATCTGCCTAGCAAGTGTGAGGCCCGGAGTTCCAAGACCTTTCTTAAAGTCATGTATTTGGAGGTTTGTAGGGTTCTCTTTCTGTCTCTCTCTCCTTTCTTTCCTTTCTTTTTGAGACAAGGTCTTGTTATGTAGTCCAGAGGCCTCAAACTTGTGATCCCATGCCTCCACCTCTTAAATGCTGGGATTATAGGTGCGCCCTGAAGCAGCCACATTTACACATTTGTACACCTGATCTGCTAAAGACTGAATGAAAACTGGCCCCCAACCACCTCCCCACCAATGGCCAACAGAACTCTCTTCCCAGGTTCAAGGAAGATAATGAGCATGAAAGAGCTCTCAAAATAGAGCACTGTGCACAGGCAAAATTACTATTCCATCAAAGGGACAGAGTGAATGGGGGGGGGTCCCATTTCTGTAGTTTGCATCCAAAGTGCCACAGGCATCAACCTAGCAGGCTCACAGGTTCAGCATGCCTCAAGCTCAGCCACCTACAGCTCTCCAGCTGAAGTCACTATCTTGGAGCCACGGATGGAGACTGAGGGACCAGGGCTCTGGGGATCAGAGCAGCCCAGTCTAGGAAGGAGAGTGTAGAGCTTACCTGCATCCTTCCTTCTTCCCCTTGGTGTGTTCTCCCCCCACTTACCAGCCATCACCAGCATCCCACACAACAAGGCAAGCTCCATGATCCTACAGGGAACCATGCAGGCCGCTGCTGGAAGTCCCCTTCCACATGGGCGGCTCCTTATATGAGATGTGTCCTACCCAGCCTAACCCCCCTCCCCTCCCAGCTCTAGCAGAAGCTCCTCTTCTTCCTCTTTTCTGGGACTGGGAAATTGCCATTTTTTTCTTGTTTTTAATATCTAGGGTTTTAAATTTTGTTTTTTATAAAAGAATCATATATCCAAGGTAGAAGAGTTGAAAACAAAAACAACAGGCAACTTAGAATCACCTACAATGACACTAAACACCATTAACATTTTGGTGTATATCCTTCTGGTCCTCTATCATCATCTATCATCTATCATCTATCTATCTATCTGTCTATCTATCTATCTATCATCCCTATCTATCTATCTTTATCTGTCTTTCTGTCTCTTTATCATCCCTATCTGTCTGTCTATCTACCTACCTGTTATCTATCTATCTTTCTAGCCAGGTACTATCTATCTATGGCGTATGTATGTGTGTGTGTGTGTCTTATATGTATCTATCTCCATACTTTTCTCTAAGCAAACTTAGTACTTTGTAGACTGGCTTTTTCATTTACGCTGAAGTAAGTTGAGCAGATTTCTGTTAGCTATTCTTTTGCAGTAACATTTTGAAAGGAGCCTCATTTCTTGTTGTACAGCCATACCATTTATTTGATGAATCCCTTACTGATGGACATACAGACGGTTTCTAATTTTTCACCATTCAAATGTAGCAAACAGAATACTGTATCTCAGTTCATGTTCTGAATCGTTGCCTAACGTGTGCTTGCTGAGTCAAAGCACACACATTCTGAAGGCAATTAGTGTGTGTTGACAACTTGGCCTGCAGAAGGTCTGACCTGATTTACATGTGAGAATCCCGATGATACAAATGGTGTGGACCCAGCCCAACTGGGGTGGAGCTGCTGCCATCAGGACACACAAGAGCATCACATCAGCCTGAGGCCTGCCAGACCTTGTCCACCAGCAGCAGATCATCAGCAGGGGTGGGTTCCCAAATGCTTGCAGACGGCCATTGGAAGATGAGATGCCCAGCTGACCTCCTTACTCCTGGCCAAACAGCTCACCCCGAAATTGTGCCAGCAAAGTCACTGCTGGGAGGTTTATTGTTGGGTTTTCCTCTCTGTCTCTCTCTGATTTTTATTTTTGTTTCTCTCTCTCTCTCTCTCTCTCTCTCTCTCTCTCTCCTGGGTATCAACTGAGGGCCTTGTGCTTGCTAGACAAGTATTCTACCACATGGGCCACAGCCACAGTCCTTTTTGGATTTTTTTTTTTTAACCAGTTCTGGGATTTGAACTTGGGGCCTTGCACTTGCTAGGCAGGCACTCTACTATTTGAATCACACCAGTAATCTCATATTTTGTTTTTGAGACAGGGTCTCACACTAACTTCCCAGGCTGGCCTCAAACTGCGATCCTACTGTCTGCTTCTCTAGTAGCTGAAATTACAAGCAACCAGACCAGGCCTTACCACTGTTTCTTGACTCACTCAAACAACTGACCACCTCATTTGTAAGAAAATAATTTACATGCAGAATAATTAAACAGTAGGCAAACTAGCTGTCTCTTGGATTTTCTTTTTCTTAAAAACCACTTTAAAGAAGATGTAAGGAGCCAGGCACCGGTGGATCATAGCTATAATCCTAGCTACTCAGGAAGCAGAGATCAGAAAGACTGTGGTTCGATACCAGCCCAGGTAAATAGTTTACAAGACCTTATCCTGAAAATACCCAACACAAAAAAAGGGCTAGCAGAGTGGCTCGAGTAGTACACTACCCGCCTAGCAAGCTTGAGGCCCTGAGTTCAAACTTCAGCACCACCAAAGGGGTGGGGGGAAGAAGCTGTAAGTATCTAATGCACACAACTTGATGAGTTTGGATAAGCCAACCCTTTCATAACCATCATCACCACCAAGGCCATGGTCGCCTCCATTGCCCCAAAGTTTCCGCTCACCTGGCATTCTCCAGTAGACCTCCTCCAGATACGCTCAGAAGTCTTCCCCTTATACTTGCCTAAATCGGTCCTTTAGGTCCAGGCTCCAGAGGAGCCTTAAAAATGCCAGCTTCACAGTTTTCCCAGACACCCCCTATGACCCGGGGCACATCCTACAGGCTGAGTTTGAGATCAGAGAGACCTGGTTCAAATTCTGACTCCTTCTCTTACCAGCTGTGGAACCCTGGAAGTGAGCCTCAGTTTCTCATCTGCATACTAGGGCGGTGGTCCCTCCCTTCTCTGCCTGCTGTGAGGTTCACTTAATGGAAGAATGCTGTTATAGCAAGCTGGGCCTCGGGCTGTAGCATTATGTGGGGTTGAAGGGGATTGGGGAGACAGCGTTCGAGCTCAGACTGGTTGGGTAACAGCCTGCCCTCCCCACGTGGCCCCTTTTACTTCCTCCCGTGGAAGACAGGGCGAGAGTGGTGCCCACTTTGTAGGATTGTTGTGAGGTGATGTGTACTGTTGTTGGAAAGGATTCGAGTGTGTCCCCCATAGGCTCGTGTGTTGGGAGCTTGGTCCTCAGAGTGGCAGCAGTAAGAGGTGTGGGGCCTTTAAGAGATTGGGGTCAGCAGGAGATCCTCCCTGTCTTTCCTGCTTCCTGTCTCCCCATGCATTCTCTCCCTCCCACACACACTCCATGATCCCATCCGCTCTGGTGTGACCCAACCAAGAAGGCCCTCACCAGAGCTGTAATTCATGGGGCCACCTAATCTAGGACTGCTAGCCTCCAAACCTGAGCCACATTAACCTCTTTTCTTTATAAAGCACTCTGCGTCCGTATTTCACTATAGGAACAGAAAATAGGTGAATACAATAAGGCGACAAGGTTTATTCCTCAGCTAGAGATCAATAAATGTTAGCCAGGGTTACTCCCCTCACTGGCATGTCTTCTTCATCCTCACCATCACTGCTTATCATAAACAGAATAAACAACTAACCCTTTTCTCTGCGTTTTCTAATCCGCTGTTAAGCCTGCTCACTCAGTGTTTTTTCCCTATCTATAAATTTGATCTGCGTCTTTTTTTACATCTTCTGTTTCTCAATGTGCTTAAGCATTCCTTTATCTTCTTAAACTCAGGATGTAGTTATAATACCTCACATCTTTATCTACAAATCTTATCACCTGGGTTGCTTCTACTGTTCAATTTTTTTTTTGAAGAATACATTTCTAGAAGAGAAACTGCCGGATCAGAAGGCACAAAGGTTTTCCACTCTCTGTAAATCTGCATGGATTAGAAGGCCCCTAGTGTCTGCCCCAGCAGCAATGTGTGAGTGCCTGTGAGGCCCTGGCGTCCCACGAGGTTTATCAGCATTGACTGAGCATTGGCTTCTCTGGTCACAGCTGGGAAAACTCTTGTGGAGACTGTTAGGCCACAACCCAGCTCACCCTCCATGTGGTGGGTGGAAGGAACAGCAAGTTGCTTAGATACTGGAGGGAACCCTAGTGAAGATAGTTACCATTGTCTGGGCCCTCCCACGTGCCAGGTGCTGGGTGGTCATATCGACTAGCTTTCACAATCACATCAGGAAGGAGAGACTGAAATTCCTATTTTACAGATGGGGAAACCAGGCCTCAGAGAGGTTAGAAGCTTGAGCAGGGTCGCCCAGCAGGTGTGTGCAGAGTTGGGGCTGGCAAGTGAGTCTGCAAGGGTCTTACAGTGTGTGGAACAGGGCTCTTTTCTTTTCTTTTTTTTTTTTTGTACTTGGCTTTGAACTCAGGGCCCACGCATGCTAGGCAGGCATTCTACCACTTGAGCCATTCCACAAGCCCTCTTTTGGTGATGGTTATTTTCAAGATAGGGTCTCACAAACTATTTGTCCAGGCTGATGTGGAACCACAATCCTCCTGATCTCTGCCTCCTGAGTAGCTAGGATTACAGCATGAGCCACCAGCCCCCGGCTGGAGCAGGGTTCTTGTAGCATGCCTCACACGTGTGCAATGTGAGTAGGCACTGCCCTAAACCCCATGTCACAGATGAGTCACTGTTTGCAGGAGCTCTACAATACGTGCTTTCCCTCCTCCTTGCTCCCTGCAAAGCCAGGGTAGTCCTGCTGCCTGGATTCTCTCTCTGATGAAGGCCTGCCAGAATGAATCAGAGGTGACACTCAGAAGCATGGCAGGTGTGCAGGACCTTGGCTTGGTGCCATGGTTACAATAGAATGATTGACACACAGTAGGTGGTAAATAAATATGACACCTGCAAACCCCTCCTTTCAAGAGGAAAGAGCCTTAGGGGCTGGCCGCCATCTGCAGCCCAGGTCAAGAAATCCTTGTTCCTAAATGACAGAGTTGGTCACACACCAGGGAATTTCCACTGAAGCCTCTCAGTTCACCCAGAGTCAATCAAGAAGCACTTTCAAAACCACTTGAACTTCCCATGCCCAGCAGCTCAGCTAAGAGGTGGCCATTGCTGGAAGGACTTTTCAGACCCAGCCTAATTCCTTTCTGCCTTCCTCAAGCACTGGCTGGTATTTAGCAGAAGGCTTGGGGGTCAGACAGACCTGTCGTGAGCCCAGACGCCTCTGTTTCCTCAGCCATTAAATAGGGTGAAGGAAGATGGTAAAACCCAGCTGATGGGGGGCAGTTATGAGGATTCCGGGATGGGGGGCATGTACAGTAACACAGGGGCCAATGGGGAACAGCAGAACCAAGGGAAGTGGGCCAAACAACTGGAGTCCTCACATGGCTGCCACTGCTGAACAGATGGACATGTGGCAATGTAGCCACTCGTGGAAACACCAGGTCAATGAACCACAGTGACACGTGGTAATCTGGATGACCAGTCATGGTGGCTGGTGGCATTGCTATTGAGGACGTGAAAAAGTACAGACTGTAAGAGATTCCACCTCTGTGCCATTCCAGGACAGTCCAGCTACTCTGTGCTTTTACAAATCAGGACAGCAGTGAGGCACAGATGCGTGGTACAGTGTCAGTCAACGTGCCTGGTAGAGATGTGCCCAGTAATGGTGACTGGAGTG